ATAGACTGGGTGGATACCTTTCTGATACCATGGGATAAGTTCCCGGAGGAGCTTATGCAGTTTTTGGAGAGGGGAAAACGACCAAGTCCACGTATGAGAAGAGAGATGGTCCGGATTGTGGTGAATGAGATCATGCGAAAATGCTCTTGCCCAAGTAAAAGGAATTCTATTGAAGTTGCCAAAAAGTTGGTGGCGAAATATCCCAAATCTCTGCAAGACATAATAGAAGGAGATGTCATTGGGCCAGGGTACCATTCTTTAGTTAAGCAGTTGCAATATAGGATTGAAAATGTGAAGCGATCTTCCACACCCAAAATAAGAAAACGAAAGCATTGTACTGATGACTCTGACACTGATGAAATTCCTCCAGAACAGAGAGCAGCAATCCAGGATACTTATGGGTGCATTAACTGGGACGTAAAATTCCTGCCCCTTGGAGAGACCCCTGAAAGCCAACAGGAAAAGAAAGAAAAACTGAAGATGATGTCTCAGCAAACTGCTGCAAATCTAGAGGAGGTCAAACATCTAATGAAGTTGACTTTCTACACACAGCGTAAACAAGTCAACCAGGGTAAAAATATAAAATGCCTTCTGGAGGAGTGGCCATTTTGGTTCAATGAACTTGGCATGGCAGTTCACTTCAAGGAACTTACCGGAATTGGTCTTAAAGAAACTTTCATGCGGAATCTGGAATTGAAGGGGAAACGACTCTTGAACTACTTCAGTACTGTTGGTGTGAACAAGAACCAAAAATTCCTGCAGGCTGTAACAAAGTGTAACGTGATGAGGGAACAGGTGGGTGGTTGCTCTCAAGACGTGACCGAGATGTTGCTGCTTTTGCTCTCCTACTTTAACGAGAAGGAAGACGCAATGTTCCATTATGTGGAGGACACAAGCCTGGCAGAGGAAGTAGAAATGGACAAAGTAAATTTGACTCCCACCCATGTTGTGTGTGGTAAGTTAATTTTTTTTTTCTTTTTTTTCCCCCATTCTTGGTGTTTCAGTTTCTCTGCCATTTCTAATTTTTGGTAACAATTTACAATAAGGTTTCATTTGTTACCATTAATTGAATTAATAAATGTTAACCAACAACGATTAATAAATGCTGTAGAAGTATATTGAGTGAGTGAGTGACGTGACATGTGGCCAAGTATGGTGACCCATACTTGGAATTAGTGCTCTGCATTTAACCCATCCAAAGTGCACACACACACCGTGAACACACACCCGGAGCAGTGGGCAGCCATTTATGCTGCGGCGCCCGGGGAGCAGTTGGGGGTTCGGTGCCTTGCTCAAGGGCACCTCAGTCGTGGTATTGAAGGTGGGAGAGAGCGCTGTACATTCACTCCCCCATCTACAATCCCTGCCGGTACGAGACTCGAACCCGCAACCTTTGGGTTATGAGTCCGACTCTCTAACCATTAGGCCACGACTTCCCAAAAATTGTTAAATGTACATTTGTTAACTAATGATAACAAATGTAACCTTACTGTAAAGTGTTCATTTTTTTTACTGTTATGTTTTTATAATTAAATATAAAATCTAACTTGATTTAAATGTATTTTCTTCTTTCTTTTTAGGTGGATCCTGCTTTTCGTCGAAGCGATTCATGCTGTGTGTGGATCGAAATGTTGTACATGACAACATCCCCTCCTTAATTTCTGCCCTCTGCATGATGTTTGGGAGCTATTATTGCTTTAACATCCATTACCCCTCAGAACTGGCATCGACCCTGGAGTTTTTGCAGAGGTATGTGTTTTTGGATGACCTTTATACAACATTGAACTGAAATAAATCTAAAACAAGTGTTGCATTTATAATTTTGTTCAGTGTATATATATAATGTACATCATAAAATAAAACATTTTAAAATAAGATTTTAAATAATAATAAT